ATAGGTTGTAAAAAGAAAAGTGAAATTTTGGTCGAACATGTAAATGTTAAAAATAGAAGAAAAAATGCGTTTGAATATGTCGACATTCTGCATAGCACAACCTGTCAAAGCCTGCAGGCGATTTGATATGTTATTGTTCACTATTTATTTCTGCAATGTGAGCATGTTCGGATTTTACGAATTAAGCTTTGTTCAGCAGAGCCAGTTGAAGCGTTTGGGTTCGCGGTGTAGGGTTACACTCATCCCTCCCCCGGCCAGGCTCTGTGTGTGCGCCGCGGGTCAATCAACCATCATATATGACAAGCAAATGCAGCTTTCCTATATGTTTGCACCTGTACAATCATTCAGATTGTAATAAGCACGATGGTGCATGCTTTCTCAATGCATCGCTGCGTTAATAATATTATTCTAACAGTCTAATATAGCAGTTTAGCTTTGATGCTTTTTTTCTATGCTTCCACATTAAATGTTCGCATTTTTATCCAATATGGACCAGCTGTTTGAACTATATCTGTGAATGAACATTGAAATATCTGCATTGCTCAGTTTTGGGCCTGCAAAATAAATAAACAAATAAAGAAAAATATTAAAATATAATAAAAATAATAAAATACTCTTCAACGCTGCCATAGGATAGTGTTACACTAGCTAAGATGGTCTGCACTGGTTTTGGGCAGTTTTCACATAGGTCTGGTGGGGGAAACCAGCTAAACCAGCTGAAGACCATTTTGACCAGGCTTGGGCAGGTTTAAGATGACTTTTCAGAAGGAAGTGTTCTGCTTTAATTGTGTTTTTCGTTTTGTCATGTCATGTACATAAGTGCATCAAGGACTAAATGTGCATCAATTAACTAAATATGCACTTTGCAAGTATTATTTATTTTTTGATGCCAGTTTGTGATTTTCTGTCTACACCACATTTACATGAGTTACACATAAATTTTTGTTCCATTTCAATTTTGTGTTAACATCTTTAATGAGACTTTTGCTTAAGTGTCTTGACTGCTTTTCCTTTGAGAAATGTGTATGTAGTAAAGATCTCCTGGAGTTCTCAGTGTATTTAATTTATGTCTCCTTAGCTTTAAAATAGTGACCTCTCAGCAATGCAGTTTTCCTCTGGGCTGCCGACACAAAGGCCATCCCAGTCCTGCTTATCTCTTGTCAGTCTATAATCCTCTTTTTTGGGGTTCTGAAGGGTGCTTATTATTATATGTATGTGACCTCATAATAGCCCCAACCCCCTAAACACGCAAACAAAGAGTGCTGCCATGACTATATGAGCAGGTGGAAGGGAGTATGAATTGGTTGTCTTGTTTTAATGATGTAGTGAGGTGAAGAACAGCTTGTAGTCCTTCACTTCACAGCTGTCTCTCTTTGTTGTCGTAAGCAAAACAACGGAAAAGGGGACCCTCATGAGTCATAGTCCTGAAGGAGACTGGGTGTATCTGTACAAAGATCAGTTTTCATAGGCATCAGCTTTGTGTGAAGAAGACAGGCAGTATCTGTGACAGCAGAGACACTTTAGACTGCTTTGTTTTGGCTGGTCTGTTCTCAGGAATATCCGTCTGTATTTTATGACCTGAAATTTATGGCTAATCGCAACAGAACATGACAGAACCGGGAAATGTTCTGTACTTAGCTGGTCAGTTTGTCTACATTTTCGTTAACAACATCTTCTTGATTATCCTCCAGGGCCTGTTTTTGCACAATCAACAAGAGCTATGGCTGAACTTCATCAGGTGTTCCTCGGCTGAGAAGGAGTAACTAATGCACTTTAGCACCTTTACCAAGATCTCAGTGAGCGGCTCCCGCAGCTGATGACCAAAGAGCCCGACCCTCGCCCACTCCCAGCAGGACTATCCAGCCTCACACCTCTGCCCCGGACATCACCATGTTCCAGAGGTTCACCAGCATCTTGTTTGGAGATTCCCTGGAGGAGGGCAGTGGATGTCCTGTGGATCCAGACTTCAATGAGAAGGAGGAGGACGATGAGTGGATTCTGGTCGATTATCTAGGTGAGAGATCTTTCTTGCATTTCCTGTTTTTGATTAGTGAACTGAAATATGGATTTTGTGTAAGAGCTTCTCCCTAAATGCAGAATTGAACAGGCAGTTCGTATCAAGAGAATGAGGGTGATGTAGTCTCGGCATTTCAAGTCAACATAAAATGAATATGTAACCTTTTTTATTGCATGTTTGTAACTTTATTGTGAGCATTGGTGCATATTATTCCAATTGTCAATTTCCAGTTTATATAATCAAGTTTTGCCTTTCGTTTTTCACATAGAATATCCCGTTTTACTCTCAAATGTCACATGATGGACATAAAAGGCAATTTGCATAGACTTTAAATGCATTCAACAGAATTCTGCTTATTTTCCCCTGAAATCAGAGCAGATTGGGTATGCAAACGTCCTCTTATTCATGAGTCGACCCTAGATCACCTCAGTTGATTCTGATGGTCTGCAGGACAGTATTACAGATTCTTTGACCCCTGGCACAGACGTCATGCCCTCATTAACATGATACCTCTCATAAGCTGCCTGACCAAATACAGGCCTTCCCATAAACACATACACACACTTATAAAGTCCACGTTCCGTTAGACCTACCTCCAGTTCCCTTTTTTAGGACAGGGGGAGACAGACATGCTTATGGGCAACAACGCTTTTAGCCTGTCAGACAAAAGTGTCTATGGTGGGGTCTGCGATTAAAAATAGGACAGATTAAGTTACCGTTTAAACACTTAAAGCGAGTAGGCCTTGAACATGGAATGATTACAAACATCAATCGTTGCCTGAAGGCTGAGTTAGACAGAATGGGAATAGAGATTAAAAACATTTCTTTTGTTTGATATCCATATAGCTTGATGGATGGAAGTGAGTATTTTTCCATTATGGTCAGAGGATTAAAGGTTAACTGGCTTCCCAGGGACATTGAAGAGTGCTGTAAGAGGGTATAACGCCTTCTTAACCAGCTGAGTTGAGAATATGTTTGATGTCATCTGGCAGGAGGCTGCAAGGCTACAGATTAGGGATGCACTGATACCGATATTGAGATTCTGTACTCGTACTCATTAAAATGCCCCGATACCAAACG